GAGGAAGAACTGAATAAATTACTTATGCCAGGGCACAAAGAATAGATTAAAAATGCAAAAAGGTGGAAATACTAAGCACATCTTTCCTTTAAAGACCAAAACACAACAAAAAATAGCAATTAATACAGGGAACATAAGCAAAAGATAAAAACATAAATGAAGAGTAAGTAGCACATGAGAGGCAGCATGGTCTAATGGAGAAAAGGCTAGCCTTAGACTCAGGAAGACCTGAGTTCAAGTTCTACCTGAAACACATAAGTGTGATAAGTGTTAGTCACATGTCCTCTCAGTGATCTAGGCAGCTCTCCAAGGCACTGAAGAAATGACATCCTGAATAATGAGTGGGTGACAGAGCAAATAAGAGAAACAATAAATGTGTTAAAGAGTGAAAATAATAAGACAACATGTTAACATTTTGGAAATGCAGGCTAAAACCATCCTCAAAGGACAAATTAAATCTCTGGAAATAAATATTTACAAAATACAAAATGAGCACACAATTTTTAAAAACTAGGAAACAGACAAGTCCAAATCAAATACAAAAGGACACATTATAAAAGTTACAGGAGAAACAGATCAAATTAAGAAGAACTGTAAAATTACAAATGTAACTAGTTTTCTTTAAACTAAAAAACTTAAAATGTTAAATGGATTAATGAGAGAGATATAAGAATAAAAATGTTCAAGGTAAATTCACAACAGTGAGGAAATAAAAAGAATTATCATAAATAATTCACTCTAACATAACTGAAAATTTAAAGGAAATTGATGGATATAGAAACAAAGAAAATAATCAATGCTAGCATTTATGTCTTACTTTAAATTTGAAAAGCACTGTATGTGTTATCTCACTATATCCTCATAATATCCCTGTGAGGTAGGTGCTACTATTATCAGTCTCATTTAACAGATAAGGAAACTGAGGCTGAAAGAAGTTAAGTGATTTGTCACTTAGCTAGTCACATAGCTAGTGTCTGAGGAAAGATTCAAACTCACGTCATCCTGATGCCAAATACAACAGTCTACTCACTGTACCACATAGCTGACTCTTTATAAAGTACTAAAACAGGAAAATGGTTATCTTTAAAAACTCAATCTCATGAACAGAATCAGGACAAGTGATAAAATCATTATGAAGGGCAGGGACAGGATGATAACCCTGGACCACATGAATTTGTGAGTACCCTCAAATTAAAGAATAATTAACACCTATGCTACAGAAATTATTTTGAAAAATTGAGAAAATATATTCTATAAATTCTTTTTAAGAAACAAATATGACCCTGATACCCAGATGAGGGAGGGATAAAGCAGAGGAAGAGAATTTACAGGCACCTTTCAGTAACAAATAATGGTGAAAAATTTTCACTAAAATGTTAGCAAAGAAACTCCAGAAATATATTTTTAAAAATCACTCTGTATGACCAAGTTGTATGTACTCCAGGACTGTAAAGATGACCTTTATTAGGAAAACAATTTGTATAATTGGTCATTTAAAAACTGAAACCTTATGATCCAATCCACAGGAAAAGAAAAATAATTCAACAATATGTAACACTTATTTTTTTCTAAATACACTAAAAACTATAACCACGGAAGTGTCCTCCTTTCCCATGGTCAAAAAGTATAACTATATGCAGTGTTTCTCTATTGAAAAATGCTGGCTCTTGGATTTTATATATAGATATATAAGCATATACTATATATAATACATGTACATATGAAGTGTGAGCTCTCGATTTATATACATACATAAACACATGTATTTGCAAGGAGTATAAGCAAAAAGTAAAGACAGAGAGAGACTAAGTAGTGACTGAGTGCTGAAAAGCAGCCTAACATAGGGGATGGAGAACTGACCTTGGATGCAGAAATTCCTGTATGCTGAGAGAGATAGAGATAGAGAGACAGAGACAGAGATACCTCACAACAACCTTATGAAGTAGACGCTATTATTATCCCATTTTCCAGGTGAGGAAATTAAGGCAAATTAAGTTTAAAAGACTTGCCCATGGTCACAGAACTAGTAAGTATGTGAAGCTGAATTTAAATCGTGTCTTGATACCAGGCCCACTGCTCTGTCCACTGTGCTATCAACTGCCTCTAGGGAGGAGCTAACATTATTTGCAATAAAAGAACATTGTAAATTTTCCCAATAAATATGGATATAGAGCAAGGATACCTCTTTTCCTCACTATTAATTGTCTTAGCTCTAGAGAAATTAAAGATACAAACACCAGGAAAGAAAAGCCAAACTGTCCCTACTTATAGATGATGTGATGATGTACTTAGAAGATCCTAGGGAATCAGTGGAAAAGTTCATAAAGATGACTAATATATTTAGTAAGATTCCATTTTTAAAAGCTTTATATATAAAAGTAGCATATATATATAACATGAACCAAAGCAAGAAAAAAAAATAGAAAAAGATATTCCATTCAAATAGCTACAAAATGCTTAAAATATGTTTATTAACATGCTGAGGCATATAAAACAGACATTAATGTGAATACAAATTTCTTTTTGTAGAAATAAAAGAAGACAAGTTGAAGATATTCATCAATTATAATAGGACTACATCAGAATAGTAAAAGATCATGACACTAAGTTAACATGTAGATTTCATGCCATACCAATCAGTTATGGAGAATTTTTTTAAAAAAAAATATAATGAAAACTTAACAAAATTCATTTGGAGGAACAAAAAAAATCTACTACCCTAACAAAAATCGTGAAATGAAAAAAGAATGAAGGATGCCTAGCATTATCAAATCTCAAGCTATTTTATAAAATGATAAACAACAAAACTATTTGAAAATAGATTTAGACTAATGTCTTACCCACTTTTCACTGATTTACTAGGGTTTTCTAAGTACATCATCAAGTCGTTTATAAATAGGGATAATTTTGTCTCTTCTTTCCTGGTGTTTGTATCTTTAATTTCTCTAGAACTATGACAAAGAACAGTGAGGAAAAGAGGTATCCTTGTCCTACCCCTCATATTTATTAGAAAATATTATAGTATTTCCCTATTGCAAATAATGTTACTTAAAACTAAAATTTTACACACTATATACCAATAACCTCCAAATGGAGAGGTGACCTAATTGTAGGAAGTCCCATCTTTAGAAGTGTTGGGCGGCTAGATGAAACAGAGTGCTGGGCTTGGATTCAGGAAGACTCATCTTCATGAGTTACAGTCTGGCCTCAGATATTTACTAGCTATGTGACCCTAGGCAAGTCACTTCACCCAGTTTGCCTCAGTTCCTCATCTATAAAATAAGCTGGAGAAGGAAATGGCAAATCACTCCATCTTTCCCAACAAAAGCCCTAATAGAATCACAAAGAGTCAGACACAACTGAACAACAGCTTCAGAAGTAAAGGAAATAAGGCAACCCTTTAGCTTCATGCTTAGCAAGTCAATTATTATATGGAAGAGAAAAGTGATTATAAAAGATAAAATTGGCAGTGTCTATACATACAATTTTAAAGCTGTTAAACAAAATCATTGAATCTGGAATTAGAAAATAAGCTTGTCATATGGTTTAAAAATTTGCATGAAATAGCTCTGATAAATGTCTGATATCAAAACATACAGGTTAGTAACACCAATATACAACTATGAACGTCACATCTCGATGTGACCAAACTATATGAACCCATTTTCAGAAAAGGAAGTGCAAACTGTTAATAACCACCAATTAATAACCACTAATGATAAGATAAATTCAATTAACTCCTCTGAGGTTTTACCTCATACCCATCAAATTCTTACCCAGCCCTGTAAAGATTTATTAAATAACTAATATGTGTAAGGTACAATTCTAAGTGCTGGAAATACAATGGCAAAATGAAAAATATTCCCTGCCTTCAGGAAATAGTGTTACAGTGCTTGTGGGAAGACAGGTACATTGTTACACTGCTGGTAGAGCTGTCGATTGGTCCAGACTTCATGAACTAAAATTTGTAATTATGTGAAAAGTCACTAAACTCTTCATACCCTTTGATTCAGTGATCCCACAGTAATATCACATATCTCCCATGGAATAAAAAGAGAGAAATTCTTTCATATACCAAATTATTCATCATAATTTTTGTGGTAGCAATAATTAGAAACAAAATGGCATTTATATGATAAAAAGACATTTTAAAATTTGTTTGTTGATTGTGAAATAGCTGAACAAATTGTTATGTATGAATATGATGGAAGACTATGACACTGTAAGAAATAATAAATATTACTGATTGAGAGAGGCATGGACATATCTGCATTTATTGCAGTGAAGACATAGGAGGAAAATTCGGACAGTAAATACTTTAATCTAAATGAAAACAATACAAAAGCACATTAATTTCAATGAACCGTATTGAGAAAAAGCATGATAGATAGAGTTCCAAAACACCTGGGCTCAAATCCTGCCAAAGAAATTTGCATTGTTACTCTGGGCAGGCAACTCATTTAATCTCTCTCATCCTCAATTTATTCATTTGTAAAATAGGGAAAATAATAGCATCTAGTTCACAGGGTTGTTGAGAGGATCAAATAAGATTATTTATGTTTAAAAAAATGCTCTGCAAACTTTAAAGTGCTCTTTAAATATGAATCAGTAGTAGGAATAGTAGTCCTATGGAGATGATGAAATAGATTTCCTTCCTCTTGGTAAAGGTTGGGGGGGGGGAATACAGGAATGGAATGTTCCATATACTGTCAGATATAATGGTTTCATTGGTTTTCCTTAACTATCTTTTTTTGGTATAATGAAGGTTTTCATATTAGGAGTTGTAAAGTATATTGGTAAATGAGTAGAAAGTCATCTATAATAGAAAGAGATGGATAGCTAGATGAATATGCAAATGGATAAATAAATGAATGAATGGATTGATTGATTTATGAATGAATAAAGAGTTCCACCACTGCAAAAAGTTTAAGATCCACTTCCTTGATGATCTATGATAATGATGTTTGTTGAGCCCCTCTTTCTTTCTCTTTTTATTGTAGAAGGAAACTTTTTGGAGCCAAGCCTGGAGAATGAAGGAAGCATTAGTGGCAGTGATTCTACATTCTACAGGCAGTCTGAAGGTAATATTCCTTAAAAAAAAAAAAGCTGCTATTACAACTTTAACCTCTGTATGAAAGACAGATTCAACTTGTTTTGCCTAGCCCTAAAGGGCAGCTGGGAGTGAGGTGTAGAAATTGCCAGGAGGTAGATTTTAGCTACAAGGGAAAATTTCCTAATAATTATAGTTATCCAAAAGTAGAAAAGATTGCTTTGAACAGGTAATGAGTTCTGTATGCCTTGAAGTCTTCAAGGAGAAGCTAGATGACCATTTATTGGGGATACTGTAGAAGGAAATCCCTGACCAGATCAAAGCTTTTCTTCAAATAGAGTCCAGGGCTTCCTCCCTCTAACTTGTACTCTTCGTCCAAGGTCTGCCCTCTGGGGCCAAGCAGAATAAATCTTCTTCCATGTGAAAAATCCATAAATATTTGAATACAGTGTTCATGCCCACCATCAAGCCTATAGACATCCCCTACTAAAAAGCATACTATGAGGACTGACCTGGAAGTTAGGAAGACCAAGGTTTGAATTCTGCCTCCAACATTCAGTAGCTGTGTGATCCTGGTCAAATTACTTGTCCTTTCTGAACTTGCTTCCTCATCAATAAAATGAGTTTAAGAAGAAGACCTACTTTGCAGTGTGGTTGTCAGGATCGAATGAGATGACATATTTAAAAAAAAAGTAAGTACTATATAAGCATGCATTTTAAAATTGTTATTAATAATAGAAAATGTGATATTTTTTATTATTTTTAACACACTGCTTTTGAACAAAGAAAAATGTTTATTTGAAGCTTTTAAAAATTAACTTCTCAAACAAATTTTAAAAATTAAAATTAACTTCTCTATGGGTTGTCTTATCAAAATCAAATTAAGCTTTTCTCTGTGCTTCTGCAGATCCTATCTTCCAGTTTATTTATGGGCCAGTCCATTTTCACATGGGTTAGTTTTCTTATATCATCTTTTACCATATCCAGAGTCTAGCACTCTCTGAATCATGGGATCATAGATGCAGAGCTGAGAGGTCCCCTTAGAGATAGATCAAGTCCAGGGGGGTGAGCCTGGGCCTCCAGCAGCCCCAAACTCCCAACGGTTTTCCAAACCAGATGAAAGTGTCATTGGGAAATGTTTAGCAAAGTAAATAAAAATACCATACAACATAGGTAATGTTAACTCCTAGTGTTCTCAGTCAATATGTAGCCACTGTTTCTATTTGAGTTTGACACCACTGATCAAATCCAGTCCTTATTTTGTGGATTAAGGACCTGAGGCCCAGAGGGAATAAGCAATTTGCCCAAAGTCACTCTGATACTAAGTAGCAGACAGATTTTTGACTCAGAGCCTCTAACTTATCTCCATTGCCTTCTTGCCTTCCTCATTGCTGATTGCCAATCTCCATCATCATGATCCATAAGAATATATTCTAATGTTCATCTGAGGAAAGTAGTAAAGAATAATAGATCATTGAAACTGTCATATCCACTCCAAAAATATCACATATGCCTTCTGGTAACATTTTTATTTCCTCACCAGGACATAGCATGATGGACACCCTGGCTGTAGCCTTACGTGTTGCTGAAGAGGCTGTGGAAGAGGCCATTTGCAAGGCAGAAGCATCTGGTGATAGTCTGGTAAATGCACTCCAAAGTAGGATCTCACTGTATCATTGACGAAGTTATAGGGTATGTCCTTCAGTGGCACCATCTAGGAAGTAGGCTTCCTTTACCTTAAGGAAACCAGCCTCCCTGTTGGCAACAAAAGCCATTTTTAATCCAGTCTGTCACATGGAATACATTGCAAATTCCTTGTATGCCTCATTTTGTGATATGGTCTGTATGTCTGTCAACTACAGCATGGGTAAATATCTGTCTTCTGTCAGGACAAGCAGAATGAAGCTAGTTATCTACGTGAACACAAGGAGGAGTTGATAGAAGAGCTTGCCACCACCATAGTGCAGAAGGTATGTTGTTATATTTCTGTTACAATGTCTTTAAGCCAATGGTGCCCCCCAGTCCAAAGCATCTGACAAATGAGGAGAAATTCTAAGAAATCTGTTAACCTTTCTCTCTTCTTCATCTTCCCCATGTTCTATCTTCATAACAAATGCATCAAAACTTACTATACAGTAGCTTGCCTTCCTTTGGTTTCTGCCCATGGCCCCTGCACAATTTCTGCCCTCTCATGGGATCTCCCAGACCCACCGACTACCACCCCATCTCAAAGGGTAGAAGGAGTTCCCAAATAGGCCACCAAATTGAAATGGAATTCACTTTGTATTACAATCAGACCTTCAGTAAAGTTCCTATCTAAACTGTCCACGAAGAACCTTGTTTAACTCTTCCTTGGGGATCATGTATCTAAAACTGAAAGGAACCTTAGAAGTCAGCTCACATAATCAAAGCCCCTTCACTTCACAGATAAGGAAACTGAGGCCAGGAGAAGTCACAGAGGTAGTAAGTAGCAAAATCAGGATTCACACTCAGATCCAGTAACTCCATATTCAGTACTCTTTCTACTCTACCACACTCCCATAAAATTTCCCCAAAGACACTGGTATGTGTGTGTGTGTGTGTGTGTGTGTGTGTGTGTGTGTGTGTGTACACAAACTTGGAGGACGGGAGGAGACTTAAGCATCTAGAAGCCTAGCCAGTACTCCTGTGTGACTGAGCCCAAAGTGTATTTAATTACTACAATTAACATGCAGGCCTCCCAAGGGAAAAAGGACTCCTTCCAGTAACCAGTCACCTTTTGTTGTCACCATTGCAGATCATAAGGAAGCAAAAAGGCGAAGGGGAACAGACAGAGAAGGACTCTGATTGGCCACAGCCCAGCAGTACTAGGAAAGTGAGCAGTCAGAGGATGCCAGCTTTTCCAGGGGACCAACAGGCATCCTGCACACTCTTGGTAAGTAAGCAATGAAAGTCATCATGGAGGTTGGCTTCTACCATTTAAAAACCAAAAGCAAGGGAATTTGACCACTAACTGGCATATGTTACCACGCCCTCCACACACACAGCATATCAACTCTTCCCATTGAGGCTGTATGTATTGGTGAATGACCTATAGATTTCAGAGGGAAAAAAGCTACAGACTTATAATTTTTATTAGAATGGTATTTCATTAAATGCCATTGCTTGGAAATAACAACAACAATAGCATGTATATAACACTAAGTTTTGCTAAGCATTTTACAAATATTATCTAATTAGCCCTGAGAGCTAGGTACTATTATTATCCCTATTTTAAAGAGGGAAAACTGAAGCTTGACTTACCCAGGGCTACACAGCTAGTAAGTGTTGATGTAGGATTTGAAATAAAGTTTTCCGTATTCCAAGTGCAGCTTTATACCCATTGCACCACCTAGTGGTGTAACCAAGACTAACCAGGAAAAATATATGCATTGGTGGAGCTTTGAACTAAAATTTGGAGAGGATTCTCATCCACAAAATACTGACTATGAAAGTTGGATTAACTTTCTGGGGGCATTGAGGTGTAGAAAATCTTGACTACTATACTACAGTATGAAGAATATACTTGAATCAGCTAACAGTGTGTGTAGGTTAGCCCTTTTGCAATCTAAAGCCATCATTCAACAAGCTTTTATTACAAGCTTACTAGGCACTGTGCTAAGCAAGCCTGGAGATAGAAAGAACCTACCTTCAAGGAGCTTACATTCTATTGAGGGAGAAAATGTGTAAATAACTGTGCACATACAAGCTCAGAGGGAAGGCACTGGCAATGAGGAGAAGGGATCAGGGCGGGGGGGACCAGGAGACCATCTCTTGCAAGAGATGAGATTTGGGCTGCCTTTGCTTGTTCATTTGTAGCTAACCCAGTAATTACAAATTACTGAGACTTGCAAATTTAAAAATTGTCTGCCTAGTGTAATACCTTGAACTTTCTGACCTCTTTTCTCACTAAAAAGCAAATTGCCTAGGTCCAAAGTTGTAGAACATTGTATGTATTTTGAGATTATTTTAATCTTAATAGATTTTGTTTATTTTTTTCCCTCTTCTTCCTCTTTTTTCCCTTAAAAATTTTTTCTTACATAGAATGGTTCTCTGGGAGAAGAGAGGGGTAGGAGATACAAGGGGAAATTTAGGTGTTATAAAAACAAAATATATCGATAAAATTGTATTTTTTAGAAAAGATACAAATCACTGGTGCTGGTCTAGTCTTCAGCTATTTTCCTAACCCTAGCACAATCAGAAAGCCAGAGCATCTGAGCATGGGGTCAGCAAAGGCAGCATCTCTGCAGTGGTTTTGAGGATTACATTAGCCTCTCTTTCATTTTGGAGCTGTTTGCAATGAGCACTTATTAAGGACTAGAAGGAGGAAGGTCCCTTTCCAGGTGTTAGAGGCTGGCTCATTATTCGGCTGTAACTGCTCACGTTAGAAGAAGGGAAAGATAAAGAGCCCAGTGAGACGTCTTTAGAATGCCATGATAAGTTTACAGGGATCTGATGTTCTAGCTGGTTTTCCCTGATGTATTTTCTGTTGTGTTGCTTTGTATTGGTTGTATCCTAGATAAAGTTTGTGTGTCAGGACCTTGCTGCCAAACCCCCTGAGGTTTGGGGCACAGACACCACCACAAGGTTTGAAGAAGACGAATCTTTGTTACAATGTCTAGCTACATGGCTCAGCATGACTGAGGAAGGCTTCCTGAAGCGAGGAAGAAAATGAGCATTTATACAGAACCTGCTATGTGCCAGGTCCTGTTGTAAGCACTTTTTACTAATATTGTCTTCATTGATCTTCCCAACAACTCTGCAATATAGGTGCTGTTATTATCCCCATTTTACAGCTAAGGAAACCAAGGTGAAGTGACTTGCCCAAGACTAACACTAAATATCTAAGGCTAATTTGAACTCAAGTCTTCCTGACTCCAAGACCTGCACCACCTCTTAAGGAGGAAGTGGCATTTTTCTGGGTCTACAGCATCCTTTGGACTTCTTCCTATTTTCTAAGTCAGACCAGTATATGAGTTTGAAGGAACCTGACACCCGGGTTCCTATCCAGTGGACAGCTCTAGAACCTCAGTCCCTCCTGGCCCGTGGCCCCAGCAGATGGTCTCATCCCCTTCTTTACTGAGAAGAGGTAGAGCAATCAGAAGGAGCTCCCTCGGCATTCCCTCATTTCAAAACTCTTTTCATTCAGCCGCCCTCTCACCTTCCCCCAATATCTCTGAGAAGTAGAGACAGACAGGGAATGCCTAGGTCAAAAGGTGGAGCACCAGCTTTGCCTCTGGAGGGTGTGCAAGGCTAGGGCAGCTCACAGTTTTTAGGGCTGGTAAAACAGAGCAAGAGGAGTCACGATATAACCGCAATGCAGGTGTTAAGTATCCTGGCAGATACTAGCTCCCAGAAATAGATAGAAGGATTGGCATCCCATTAGAGGAGAGGTTAATGCTGTGAGAAGCATGCAGAAACTAAGAATGACTGAAGGAACAGCAGATTCATGTTTCCCATTTCACACTCAATCTGGACTCTATGACCTATTGCTCATTAAATGGGATGGTGAGTGGTATTGTGCACACATATGCTTTTCCCCTATCTTTCTCTGTGTCTCTATCTGTCTCTCTATCTCTGTCTATCTCTATCTCACTGTCTCTATCTCACTGTGTCTCTGTTACTCTCTTTTTGTTTCTCTGCTTCTATCTGTCTCTCTGTTTCTGTCTCTGTCCTTTTCTCCCTCCCTCTCTCTTCTCTGCCTGTCTCACCATGTCTCTGTCACTGTCTCTCTGTCTCTGCTTCAAATCTGTCTCTCTGTCACTGTCTCTCTTTTATCCCTGTCTATCTCTATTTCTGTCTCTGTCCTTCCCTCCCTCTCTCTTCTCTGTCTCTGTCTCTGTCCCTCTCTCTCTCTAACTCTGTCTCTCTATTATCTCTCTCTGTCTCTCGCATAGCTGCACAAGTATAATGTGCATGGTGTGACTCCATTGTCCTAAAACAATACATATGCTACTCTACCTCAGAGAATGATTGTTTAAAAAATGTCATAAAAATTAAGGTACAATATAACTATGAGTTATTATCCAAATTTGTGGCATTATTCATATTCATTTTATGTAACTGATATTACAGAAATCAGTATGCATGCATTAGCACCCATGACAAAGAATGCCCTCTGAACATAGGATCGATATATTCTTGTATCTCCCCCTTATGCCTACCAGCAGGGACTCTGCAAATATGAAACACGTCAAAAATGTTTGCCGAAATACTAACATAGGCACAATTGGTAGAGCACTGCAAACGGTAATTTATTTTCCCTGAATCATTGTAGATTAAGAACTGCCTGTACAGAAATATGCTGCCTAACCCTGTTTAATGATTCTCCAAAAACAGTATGTTGGTTGAAATGAGCATAGGGAGTTTAATCAGAACAATATTATCCAAGTAATAGTATGACAATAAGCTACCCCAAAAACTTCTTCCTTAAGCTGATTTACTTACCTCTGTGTATATATAATCATATCCTGGCTACCCCAATCTCATACCATCTCGTGGGAGATAGTAAGCCCCAGAAGAGCAGGAGCCTCTGTTTTTTGTATCGCCAGTGCCTAACACAGGACCTCGCAGATAGATGGAGATTGAATTACATAACATTAAAATAGGTTTGGTTATAATGCGTTATGATTATCATGGGCATTAGTGCAAGATGATTTATGTTAGGCAGCATCATTTGAAGGAATATCAAAAAAAGAGAGGTCATTTCACTAATATCAAAAATCTATCAGAAAGACAGAGATATTTACAAAGCAATGGCAAAGTACAGACTTGATTGTAGAAAGGTCTAATCTAAGTAAGAGGAAAAATTGCTGCTAACACACCAGCATCCAGTTACATGCAAATAATGATAAATCATCTTTATATATTTCTTTTAAAAGTTTGGATAGGATCCCTGCTTGTGATCACTTTATATTGCTATACAGACTCAAAAGTGATACAGTTGAAAAATGTTTAATAAAAGGGTACTTAACTCTGTACCGAGAATTAGATTAGACATAATGAAGGAAACAGAAGTACTAGACATGGTACTTGCCCTCAGTGGGAGTCAGTGTATTGGAAGAGAACACAGAGACTTAAAGAAAACCTGGGTTCAAATCTCACCTACAACACTTAATAGCCATATGGCACTTGACCTAACTGAGCCTCAGTTTCTTAATCTATAAAGTGGGAATGATAATCACTGCAGTTCCTGCCTCCTATGTTTTTCGTGAGGATCAATTGTGACAATGTTTTTAAAGTACTATATGAATAGAAGCTATTAGTGATTACAATTGACTCAAAGGCTTGAAACAATTAGAGAAAAACAGTACGATGTATTTCACACAAAGTACAAAAATTGTGCGCTGCAGACTCTTAAGTCCTAGAATAATTCAGAGAAAACAAATAAAAGCTATAGAGGAAGGCTTCATGGAAGAAATAAGACTTTCTGGGCCTTTAAGGATGGCTGGGATTTACATGGGCAGTAAGGAGGAAGGGCATTTGGGTAAATTTCTTTTAAAGTTGCCTGTGGTTCTGATTTTTTACATATTCAGAGGGGTCTTCCCCATCATTAGAAGGAATTCATGAGATTTGTTTGTCTATGTCTTCTATCTGATGGATTTTTCCAAAGCATTTCCTGCACCCTAGGGGAAGAAAACCAACAACACTTTTTCAAATTATGGAGCCACAGTATTTAGTAACACCAGCTGTGTGGTTCCTCATTTCCTACCAAACATTCATCAGGGCCACTTGTCATAGGAAAAGGAAAGAGACTGATGCCAACATCTGTTTGTCATTAGTGCTAACCACATGCAACATTGAAGCCCAGTAGCCTGACTCAGGATCTGAGCTCAAAGAGTAAATTATTCCCTATTATGTTCAAACTTCTCAAAGCAAGAATAGAACAAATTCACTTTTTTCCCTCAACTAATTAGTGAAATACCAGCTGAGAGCAGCTTAAAATATCCATCCAAGTCATTGACTAAGAGAAGAGTCTCCAACTTTACTCCTATAGACCACTAAGATGAAATTCAACAAGAATTGAGACCTTTTTATTTCTGTGGTTATTATATGAGTAGAATTTGGAGTTACTTTAAGTCAAAATTGGGGGTGTTAACTCTCGTCCAGAGTTTCCAAGGATTCCCTTTGTTGTGTTTAAATAAATACTCTGGGACAGCTAGGTGGCACAGTGCATAGAGCTCAGGGTCTGAAGACAGGAAGACTCATCTTCCTGAGTTCAAATCTAGCCTCAGACAGTTACTAGCTGGGTGACCCTGGGCAAGTCACTTAACACTGTTTACCTCAGTTTCCTCATCTGTAAAATGAGCTGGAGAAGGAAATGGCAAACCACTCCAGTATGTTTGCAAAGAAAACCCCCAAAAGGAGTCATGAAGAGTGGGACATGACAGAAAATGACTGAACATGACTGAACAACAAAGCAGGAAAATGAGAAAAGGAAGTGAAAAGAAAGTAAGAGATTCTGGAGACGGGGATTTAGAGAATGGATAAATGCAATCCACAGGAGGTTAATTAGGATAGGGACTGCAAAGGGCAGGACTGTGTGATTTAAATAACTAATCCTTCCTCACAGCTTTAGCAGGTAGAGTAAAACTACTCAATGATCAAGAAAATATGTAGTTATGGTGCCATCTTCTGGACAATAAATTCATTTCAGTTAACTGGTGGAAACATGAGTTTGTTCAGCAAATATTGAGAGCTTTTTGTGTGTGAGGTATCATTCAGGGCACTAAGGAGGGGTTGACCTATTTTTATGATTTCATTGCTATGGAAAACGCCCAGGGATGAAACTCTACCAATATAGGTTGGGACTTAATCAACATTTAAGAGTTAGAGTTGTCTGGGGCACTGAGAGGTTGAGTGACATGTCCAGGGTCACACTGCTAGTAATGTGTCACAGACCTTAGATCTTTCTGTAGCCCAAGGTTATTTCTCTCTTTGCTCTATGACATTCCTTCTCTAGTATTAAGCTTCTTCATCTCACAATATAAATGCTCTCCCCAGGGGTTTCTGGTGACAGCTATATTTTACCCTCTTAACAATGATACCCAGCTGTGAGTTGAACATGGCTATTGGCTCCTGGTTGAGATCTACCCATAATATGTAACCAGTACATTTTCAAAATGCCAAGGAGAAATGTTGCCCCAAATCTTTTGAATGTTTTCTGTGAGATCCACCTTCACAGGCCTGTTTATTGGATAGAAAAAGGCAAAATCTTAATTAACAAACCCAGTAACCCTCAGCTAACAACTAGGAATAACCCAAACAATTTTACGTGAAAAATGTGGTTTCCTATCTCTTGGTAAACTGTCTGTGTACATCAGCACAGGAATAAATAACACCTAGTTTAGGTGATAGTGTTTGATACGACTACATTTCTGAAGTTTACCAAGGGGGCTGGCAGTTTGCAATCTCCTATACAGGGGAATTCTCAATTGGAACATGTTGTTTTGCATAAAGGAATTGGAGTTAATACTTTTTGAGGTTAACACGAAAGTCCCTCCCTGCCCCCCCATACTAATAATTTTACCAAGTTATACTGATATCTTGATAGTATCAGAGTAAATTATAGCCAGAAAGGGACCCTAAGGATTTTCTAATCAAATCCCCTGTGATACACACACACACACACACACACACACACACACACACACACACACACAATTGGTATCTATATATTACACACAATGTGCATATGATTTAATATATAAATACTTATGTGTATATATATGCATATGTATGTACATGCAGTATATACAAAGTGTTCCAATAGTCTTAGTGCAGTTTTAACCTAACTGCACAAAGACTTTTGGGATACCCTACACATCTATACATAGATCTGTGTACATATTTGCAATGCAATATAATATATACGTTATAATATGTAATGCATATGTATACATTATAATTCTATATACTGTATATGTCATCTTATAGAGATGACATTTATAATCATGGGAGTTGGCAAAGTTACCAATCAATGAACAGTTATTAAGTGCCTACTGTGTACCAGGCACTGGGGGTGCTAAGTACTGGGGGTGTGAAGAGGCCAAAGACAATCCCTCCCTTCAAGGAGCCTCACAATCAGAAATAGGGAAGGAGGGAGGAAGGTGGAGGGGAGAAGGAGGTTGGGGGGGGAAGAGGGGGAGAGAGAGGGGGAAGAGAGAGACAGAGACAGAGAAAGAAGGAAAAGAAAAGAGGGCTCAGGACAGAGCCTTGGGAAACACTCACAGATAGGGAGCATGATGCAGATGATAAGCCAGCAAAGGAAATTTAAAAAGACCAGTGATCAAACAAGCAGAAGGCAAACCAGGACAATAGTTCCCTCACTCACAAATTACCTTGTATTTAACTAATTTGTATATATTTGAATTTACTGACTGTAGTTAGGCCATATCTTTTTTAAAAGTTTTTTTTTAAATCAAAAAAGCATTTCTTTTGTCTCTCTCCCCCATTGGAATAGAAAAGAAAAAAGAAAAAAAAATCCTTTTAACAAATATGCATACACAAAACCAGGAGAATTGTTTGTATAACATCATAAAGATGAACAACCTTGACAGACTTTAGAGCATTGGTCAAGGCAATGATCAACCCATGATGAAGCGGACTACCCACCTCCTGCCAGAGAGGTGATAGCCCAGGAGTGGGGAGCCTGTGGCCCAAAGACCACAGATTCCCCACCCCATGACAGACTCAGGGTACAGAATAAGTCATACGTTTTTGGACATGGTATACGTGTATGTATACACTTGTCTCCCCCAGTAGAATGGGGAATCGACATTGTTCCGTTCTTTGTACTTGCTGTCGCCAACAATTAGCATAGCGCCTGGCACACAGTAGGTGCTTAGTAGATACTTGTTGGTTGATTGATTGATCATCTGCTGTGAATCACCTGAGAAGCTGGCAGCTGTCCCCTTTAAGGCACCATATCTTATTTCAGCAGAGGTCCCAGTCTGCATTCTCCCTAACTGGTGAAGAGGCTCCAAGCAAAGAGTCGAAGGTGTCAGCACCCCTGGAGACCCTGTGGGCAGAGCAGAGGGTCCAGCGCAGAAACCAAAGGAACAAGAACATGCTGCCTTACCCAGCTGGAAGAGCATGGACAGACTGGATGAGACAAGTAACGATTTTAATACATTTACAGTAGGTCTGCATGTTTGAAAAGTGATCTGTGGTTGCTTACTAGCCCTCACCACAGGAGCCTTAAATATAAGTCCAAAGTAATTTTTTCGTTTTTCAAATGCTGAAGCCAGGCCAATCCCAGTGATCTTGTTGGCAGTAGCTAAGGAAGGCCATGCACTCACTTCCATCAGGCATGACACCAAAGTGACCAAGGATAACTGTGGGTATCTCCAAGGCACAAGTGCCTGATCTATCCCAGAGCTTCCCAGTTCCTTCATAGGCTCAAAAGATAGTTGTCATGATAGTTGTCACATTTATGTAATGATTCAGTGTTTCCAAAGCACCTTTTTCACAATGATCTGGGGAGGTTATTTCCATTTTACAGATGAGGAAACTGAGGTACAAAGGGTTAAGTACCTTGCCTGATGCCAACTCCACTGCTCTTTTTACCATATCACACAGCTAGTAACAAGCTTCTGTCTAACTGATGCTCGGCATTTGAGATGTAACTTACATTTTCTGTCTTTTCCATGTTCTCATTACCTGTTCCTACTACCCATGCTGATAAGGCAGCTACTTGGTACAAGGCATAGAGTGCTAGACTTAGAGTCAGGAAGACCTGCCTTCAAATCCAGCCTCAACTATGTGACCCTGGACAAGTCATTCAACCTTCTGTATCTCAGTTTCTTCATTTGTAAAATGGGAATAATAATAGCACCTAGCTCCCAACATTATTTGGAGGATCAAATGAGATAACATATGTAAAGTACTTTGAAAACCTTGAAACACTATACAGACAATAACTTTGAAAACCTTAAAACACTATACAAACAATACAAACAATTATTATATCAAAGTAATGCCCATTCTTGGCTTCTCCATCTAGGATAATAGGATCAAAGAATGTTAGACCTATAAGGGGACATTAGCGATCATTTGGCTAATGTCTTCACTTTATAAGTTGGGGAAACAGAGATCAAATGACTTGCCTGATGTCACATACCTCATTAAAGATAGAATGTATACTCCAACCCCAGGTTCCAAGCCCAGCCTTCTGATCCTGGTCCCATGCTCTCACACCATGCAGCCCTTTCCATCGAGATTAACCATGGGATTCCTTTAAATTGGGGACTTGCCTAATAGCCTCGAAAGCCATCCCACTTGCAAAAATTCATTTTACGCACAGTGGAGGGCACCCATTGCATACAAACATAAGAGGCAATGTGATATAGTAGGAAGCATGACTTGATCCCTTCTGGAATTAGAAGACTTGGAAACAAATCCCAACTTGGACACTTACTATCTGTGGGACCTTAGGCAATGTACTTCCTCTCTCTGTGATTCAGTTATTCTTCTGTAAAAATGAGGAGGTAGAGTCAGATGATCTCCAAAGTCCCGCTCATCCTTAAGTCATCTGAGGGTCCTATTAAATGCCTTTTCTCTCTCAGACTTAGTTTCCTTATCTATTCCATAGATATATCTCTAAATATCATATATATGCTTATATATAAAATAGGAATGATGCTAATAATTATGTTGCTGTTGAATCCATATCCAACTCTTTATGACCCCATTTGAGTTTTCTTAGCAGAGATGCGGGAGTGGTTTGCCATTTCCTTCTCCAGCTCATTTTATAGATGACAAACTGAGGCAAACAGGGTAAAGTGACTTGCCCAGGGTCACACGGCTAATAAGTGTCTGAGGCCAGGTTTGAACTCATGAAGATGAGTCTCTGTCTCCAGGCCCAGCACTTTATGCACTATGGCATCTCCTAGCCGCCCAATAACAATTATAGATGACACAAGATTTACATACATTCTCTCCTTTGATCCCCAGCAGGAGAGATACTATAGCTGTTATTATTCTCATTCTACAAAGGAAGAAACTGAGATTCAGAAAAGTTTAGTGATTTGTTCATGGTCACACAGCTAGTAAGTATCAAAGGCAGAATTCAAACCTGAATTTTCCAGACCCAAAATCACTAGAATCTCTTTGTAATCTGTGCTTTCCACTGAACATACATTCTGCCACTCTTTATCAATCTATCTCATAGGGTTGTTGGGTGAGGAATATTTTGTCAGCCTTAAATGTGACAAAAATAGGAGCTATTATCATTCAGATTATTATTATCTTTTTAAAATCATATTAATTATAGCAAATAATTGCATCACATATAATAAATATAAAATTAACTCATATTGTAAAATCATTTCAATGATATTATTAATATGTTATTGATGATGTTAATAATGAAGCAAGGCAGACCTGTGTAAGTCATCTAAATGTGTTTGTACAAAACTTGACTAGTTGGTGGGCGTAAAAGACGAAAGGAGGGTCTGCATCTCTGCTAGAAGAGGCCACCAATGTTTCCTGAAGAACATCTGACTCCCGGCATTCTGGCATTGATGCCGTTAAACATTTTAACACAAGAGGCCCCCACAATGGCTGTCTAATTTGTTTAACAACAGAGCAAGTTATCTCTGGGGGCCATTTCTCCATTAGACAGCACTGAAATGGAAGAAGAAAAGCAGCCGCGAGGCACTAGGATGCGTCTCCTCAGCCTATTAATGAATGTTGTCCTATTTTTTACATTGCTGTTTATGCTTCAGGAGAGCAATTGGTCAAAAAGGCCCATTAGTCCATAACACCTACTGGCCACTGAGCCAGGGTCAAGGAAATTAATAATCCTGAAACAAAATCTTGGCAGCTCTAAGAGAATTCAGCAGATCTAAGAACCCTCAGCCTCAAAGGGTGTCAACACTCTGGTTTGGCCAGAGAGATGAGCAAATGCAGACGAAATGCCTTCGCCCAGAGCTTCCTCCCTTGCCTTCTTCTAGCCAGTATATGGGTCACATCACAGTGCATTTGAAGAGAATTCAGATGGCAGGCTTTATTTAAATCCCTCCATCAAAGGTAAGATGTTTGACCTCTGCAGATCACAAGTTCTAGTTTTGAAAAGAGGAATTTGAGATTCATGGTGTCCCATGCCAATGGAAGAAAATCCCAGAGTAAGGGTAAAGTCAGTTTTGTCTTTTGGATTAATTATAATACCAACTCCCATTCCTAGAATGCCCTAAGGATTATTAGAGCAGGGCTGTCAAATAGAAAGGATCCCTGCAAGGGACATTTTGACTTAGAAATCTACAAGTCAACATTATCTACGTAGTATTGTCTTTTTATTTATTTTCTTAAACATTTCACAATTATATTTTAATCTGATTCTGAACTAGAACACTTTTCTCCTAACAGCTTCATAAACTAGGTAGCAAGCATTATTATCCTTATTTTATTTATTGATGAGAAATAAGAGAGGTGAGGTGACATGTTCATGATGCTAGAAGGTGTCAGAGCTAGGATTCAAAGCCATGTTTCTCCTGTCAAATCCCCTCATGGTCCTTCCATGACACCATCAGTATGTTTGCTTACCAGACAAAGGTGTTTTGACTTGAAACTCGCCTCTATTCTCACTTATTGGATTATAGGTTTAGAGTTGGAAGACTCTGAAAGGTAATCTATTCCATCCACCTCCCTCCTTTTACACCTTGCCCTAGTCCAGTTAAGAGAAGCAACATGGCAGCCTGAAAAGTAGAGTTAGTGGTTCAAAGGTCTGAGTCCCAGCAATGAAAGTCATTTTATTGCTTGGACTCACAGTTTCTTCATCTGTAAGGTTCCCAACTTATTTGGCCTCCCGCCCCCTTTACCAAAAAAAAAATTACTCAGTGTCCCCCTGGAAATCCACTCTCTTTAACCCTTTAATGCTTTTTTAAAATTTGCATTGTTTCAAAAAAATACAAAATATTTTCTAAATGACGCATCTTAAATTTAATAATTTATTGTAAATTTATGGGGTTTTCCTACATTGAAATTGTGATGACCCAATATTGCATCATGTAACTGTATACTATTGTATTGTAAACAAGTCATTACATGCATATATTCCTGCAGATGCATGCTGGACTTCCCAACAATGTGGGGCATGATTGCCTACCAACACTTGCTTGTTAAGAGCTGTTGGCAGACTTGACCACTGATCAGTTATAACTTGCATTTTGAGTGTTTGTTTGGAAAATAATGTAATCACTACAATTTTAACTGTATTACACAACAGATGAAACACATATGAATGGTTTTTCAAATTTTTCTTTTCTCTTCTTTCCTTATGCTTCCACCACCCCCTTATTTTTATTCAACCCCCCCAATTGCACCTGAGGCTACTAGTGCCCCCCAGGATGTTCCAGCACCCCCCCAGGGGTAGGATTGCCTACTTTGGGAACCTCTATAAAAAGAGATAACACTCCCCCCTTCACACAATTGTTGAGGATTTCCTGAGATTATGTCACCTTACAAAACATAGTAGTAACAAAAATAATAACAATAGCTAGCATTTATATAGTACTTTAAGGTTTGCAAAGGACTTTATTCCCATTTTACAGGTAAGGAAACTGAGGCAAAGAGTGGTTTAATTATCTTGCCCAGGGTCATACAGCTAGTTTGTGTCTGAGGCAGGATTCAGAATTCAGGTTTTCTTGACTTGCAGTCCTATGCTCTATTCACTACACCACCTAACTTCCCTGCCCCAAAGTAAGGTTGTTATTATATTATAATCATATTTGATGTTTATGTACTCAATCACATCAGCACCAGTCACAGTAAATATATTAATGAGAGAGAATATGGCATAGTAGCTAGAGAGAGCGTCCTGAATTCAGGTAGGCCTCGGTTCAGGCCTTGCTTCTGATCTATAATGTCTGTGTGGGCAAGGAATTTAACCCCTTTCCATTCTCAGGCAACTATCCAAGACTCTAAGGGGAAGAGAAGGCATTTAATAAAGTTTAAGGAGAGTTTCCTCCCTGGGAGTTCTTTATACCAATGAAGTCACAAGTCTGGTTCATAAAATAAATTTATACACACACACACACACACACACACACACATTGGACACATGACTCTGGGCAAGCCACTTCATTCTTTAGTGACCCCAAGTAAGGCTACAAGACAAGAAGAGATGTGGTTACCTCTATGCTGATTAAATCACAGGCCCAGTCATATGTACACATACATATGTATACAAACATATATATTTGTATATATATGTCCATGCTTATATGACTAGATATAGATAGATAGATATGATATATATGATATATATGTGTATACATGTACTTTTAGGTTTTGATGCCTTAGAATGAGTCTACATAGCAATTGTTTTCTGTTCTGGCCAGAAACCCTAAAGATCTTCCCCTCCCAGATCGATAGAGAGTTTTGTGATGCTAAATTATCTCAATTCTTACCTAGCCCTTAATCATTGTTGCCTCAGACAAACTGAGATCTAGGAAAGACCTTAATGTAGAGAGGCTAGGGTCACCCATTGCATCCTGGGCCTTTACCAGTTGTCTTGACTTTTGTCCTGCCACTGGACTTCCATGACTCTGAAAGAGAGAGTGAGGCTGATGACTTTGCTCCCCTCTGCCTCACTTAAATCCAATTCATGTGCAAGCCAAGACATCATCCTCATGATGTCATTGTTCCTTGTCGAGAACAAAGGGTGAATAATACCATCTAGAGATATACACACCTCAGGTTATTTATGTATTTGGGGCATTTCTGGATAACCTGTGCTATAGCACTTTCTTAGGACATTAGTCATGGTAGGAGTTAAGGAAATGATGACTGTGTGATATTAATGCATTTTCAGGACTAGCCAGACAATAGCACTAATTCAGAACCCAGTTGAGTGGGCTCAGCTCCTTGACTGGAAACCAAAGCCATCAGCTACCCAAGTCCCTGCAGCTGTTCAGTTCATTTCCATATGTACGTAGGTGGTATGCCATGATGCTAGGCATCATAGGGAGGTATAAACACACGAAGAACAGAGGCATTTGTAATCTCACTGACGTTGGGTGAGTCAGATAATGCCTAAACTGTTTCATCTGTGAGTAGGATTACCCAGGGAGACCTGACTGAGATTTGATGTCAGAACCCTAAAGCTGAATTGTTCCCCCACACACGCTCCTTAGTCTTCACATCAATATTATCCTTACAGCCTTTAGAGCACCTAGGCTAGCCAGGACTTAAGGGGATTTCTTGTATTTCTCTTAGCTCTCACATTCAAGTTCAGCCCATAGGGGACAGAAAATTATAATGGGATCAAGTTGTCAGCCTGTACAATAGGACACGTAAAGGAAAGAGGATTCAGTAGGGTCCTACCTGGCCTGGAAATCCTGTTGTTCTAGGTGTACATATGTTAACTTCCTATGGAACTTTTAAAAACAACTCAATTAGTTCACTCCCCCCACTCCCCACTAGCTTTTATTTTTCTTCCCCAGAATTTCGAGACAGCCATATTCTCTTTGTGCTCTCATGGAATGGTCATGGTGGATATGGTGGCTAGACATTCCTCATCATCGTAAGGCAGGGAAAAGCTACTTTTTTATCACCCTACTTTCCCTCAAAATCTGTTAAGGGTCAGTACTTTCCTATTTACAAGGCCATGAGCTTGCTTAGAAGCCATGCCTAAGAAAAGAAAGACATCATTTGCTCAAGGGAAGAATGTATTTGATGAAGACCATGAAGCATATTCATATATATATATACATATATATATATATATATATACATATATATTATATATATATATATATACACACACACACACATATGTAACAGAGGAAATTCTTAACCCAATAACAGACCTACAGTCTTAAATGATCAAACTCATGGGTAGGGAGACATTTCTAGCCTAGTACAAACAGAAATCTTCCAAAAATGATTCCTGCATAGTCAAAATAGAATTTTCACCAATAATCCTAAAAATATAAGGTACACAATTATTCTTGGAAAGAGAATAACCATGGATTTGCAATAGATTTCTGGAGGTCTTGCCTCAACTTGAGGTCACACAGAGTTTCTGATTCCTAGCAGAGAGAGAGAGAGAGAGAAAGAAAGAACATGAAAGAAAAAATCATGTTGGTAGCTCCTCTCTGTGTCAAAAGAATAGCCTTCTACCACCTCTGTCTACAGAAAAATTGACTAGCATTTTCTGCTGGTCCATCCTCGAGAAGAAAAGGAATGCAGAACAGAAAGCGCCCTCCATTCTCCTGCTCAACCTAAGAAAAAGAAGAGAAAGGCAGCAGAACCAAGAGGCACCTTCTCTCATGGCTGACCAGAAGGAAAGAGAGAGTTCAGAAGACCTGAGCCTTGAAACCCTGCTTCTTAATAATGATCAAGGCAGTTCACATATCCTGATTCCTGTTAGGATACAAAGCTCTTTCTCAGCTCCTCCTTCTGGAGGTTCATCATTATCTTACAGCCTACATTCAAAGTCCTGGTAGAAGAGTCCATTTAAAAAACTGTACTAAATGCTTCACCTCCATCTGTGACCCATATGGTCCATCCTACTACTGGTTTGAGCCAAGTGAAGGTCAATCAAGTCTCCCCTTTCCCCATTGCAAACACCCAGAAGGTATCGGTTATTTGCTATCTCATTGCCAAGAATAGTTGAGCCAAGGATGCCTCATTGGTATTTCTTTTTCCTCTTTCTAGATCCAGACCCTGTTTTGCAAAGTTCTGATGGGAACTGGGTAGCGCTGAAGAATAAGCCGTGTCCTCATCCCCGCCTTCTGGCCAAACCAAAGAGCCAGGCATTCCAGGCTCTGGAGAAGGAGTCCAGTGTGGTATCTGCCTATGATGAGATGGGCTCAGATAGTGAGGATGATTTTGATTGGAATATAAGCCTGAACAAGCTTCATCAGAGACCCCAGAGCCTATCAGAAAATTCCTATTCCACAGACTCCCAGCATCACACCGAGTGGGCTTATGGTCACGACCAGTGTCCCCGGGGAACCTCTCCCTCCTCTGGACTTTACACTAACCCTGAGACCATGTGCTCCGACTCAGAGACTTCTTCAGTGAGCTCATCCCGGGAAGTTCAAGGACCAGCCAAGCGACCTTGGCTACAGAGAAATACCCCTAGCTACCACTCACTAGAAAAAGCACACTCACAAGGAGGGCTGGATGTGAATTTCAACCCCCAGGCTGCTGACACGCAGGATTCAGACAGCAGTGATGCTGAGGACAGTCACCATACAGCTGACAAGAGGTCCAGGAGGTGGAGGAGGAGTAAGCTAGCCTCAGCTGAGCTGGATGAACAAAAGCCCCCCACCCAAAGCCATGAGAAAGATTCGGGCTCTAATCAGGTAATAGCCCTAGGTTTTACTAACATTTCAAAAAAAGCTTAAGAGAAGGAATGTGGCAGAACAGAAGGAGAGCTTAGCCCCAAAGACAGGAAGACCTGGGTTCAAGTTCTGCCTGTGACAAACTGGCTAGGAGACTATGGGCACCTTACTTATCCTCTTGTTGCTCTGAGATTATAAGTTACGGAGAAGGTGCTGACCTGCTTTGGCAGACCAGGTTTCCATATTGAGAGTTCCCTATACCAGTGAAATCACAGGACCAGGCCCTATCCTTACTTCAATTTTTTGAAACTTGAATTACTACTTTCACAATGCCCCTAGTCCACTCCAAAATCCTTAATAGCTCCCCATTGCCTATGGAATAAAGCCCAAATTTCTTTAAGGCCTTCCACAATCTTGCCTGAACCTAACTATGAAAGCTAATTTCTTGCTACTCCCCTACAAGAACCCTCTACTCCAGCCCAACTACTCAAAAATCCCCTTTAACATGCCATATACATTTATGCCTCCACCATCTTTATTGCTCATACAACAAATATTAACAGCAGCATAATACAATGGAAAGAGAACTGGGGTCAGAGGACCCAGGTTCAAAACCCATCTCTGACACTTACTGCTTGTGTGACATTGCTTGTCACTCAACCTACATGGGCCTCAGTTTCATCGACTGTAAAATACAAGGGTTGGACTTGATGACCTGTGGGGTCTCTTTCTAGAGCAATGGGCATATGATTTTACAGATATTCAGTGCCTGTCAGGTGCCATGCACCACACTTCATCTGTTCCCATAGGGGGTGTCTTGAACTCTCTGGTTCCCTAATCCCATTTCTACCCATCTTTCTGGATGCATCTAAAATTCCCCCTCTTCCAGGCAGCCTTCCTGACTACTCAAGCCCACTATAATCCCTTGCTTCTCTGGTGTCTCAACTCAGAAGCCTTTCTGTAGAGACTATTCTGAGCATCACAGAGTCTAAGACCTGGAAGGAACATTAAAGGTCTTCTTTTATGGATGAAGAAATAGAGGCTCAGAGAATTTGTTGATCATAGACTGGCCTACCAGGCCTTAGGATTACAAATTTAAGGCTGGAAAGGACTTTAGAAACTATCAAGGCTACCTTTCCATTTTACAAATGAGGAAACTGAGGCATGGGGCTATTTAGTGACTTGCCTAGGGTTACACAGCTAACATATGAGGTAGGATTTGAACCCAAGTCTTCTTGACTCACAAGTCATATCCCGTCCACTATCTCATGCTCCAAGGTTTCTGAGCTGGAAGGAGCCTCACAGATGAGAAAACTGAAGCCCAGAGAGGTTAATGATTTGTCCAAGGTTGCACAGGTAGTAAATAGCAGAACCAGCATTGAAACCCGGGTCCTCTGATTACACACCCCAGCCCTCTTTGTATCACATTGCATTGCCCCTCACTCTAGGTCTTCAGGAGTCTGTTAATATTGAATAATAAACAATTGTGTAGAACCTACTAGGAGCAAGACACTACATTAGGTGTTAGGGATGCAAAGAGGAAAATAAAGTGGCCTCTGCCTCCAAAGAGCTTGGGGGGGGGAGGGGAAGGGCAGATAAAGCATGTCCATAGAGAATTATAGATGTGATTATTTGAGCAGAGTGGAGAGAGAATTGACTAGTCAAGAGGATCACAAAAGGCTTCACAAAGGATACACAAGGTGAGCTTTGAAGGAAGCTAGAGATTCTAAGAGGAAGAAGGGAGGAGGCGTGGGGCCAGCCAGCTCATGGAGATAAGAATTTGAATTCTGAGATCAGAGACTAGCAACTTGTGCAGTTTGGCAGGAATGCAATAGGCATGAACAAAATAGTGTATAATAAGCCCGTAGAGGGACGCTAGGGTCAGGTAATCAAGGGCTAAGTGGCACAGTGGATACAGCACTGGGCTTGGAATCATCTTCATAAGTTCAAATCCAGCCTCAGACTCTTACTATCTATGAGACTCTAAGCAAGTCACTTCACCCTGTTTGCCTCAGTTTCCTCACCTGTAAAATGATCTGCAGAAGGAAATGGCAAACCACTCCAGGATCTTTGCCAAGAAAGATGGGGTCGTGAAGAGTCAGTCACGACTGAAATGACTCAATGAGAATAGCCAATGCAAGCTCAGGAGTTCGGGTCATCAGGGAGCCAGGTGAGGTAATGTGGTCAGATTCGTGCTTTAGAAAGATTAGTGTGAGGTCTAGAGGATGTATTAAAGAGCGGAGAGATTGGAAGTCCATATGGATTGCAAGTGTTAGAGCCAGGATTGGAACCCATGTTGTCTATAGATTCAACATCGCTTACACTACACTGTCCAACATTTCCTTCACAATCTAGCTCTCATCCCATTTTCGTCAGCAGATTGCCCCCCTGGCATCCCCACTCTCACACTTATCTTTCCTCAATCCTTGTCTCTACTGGCTCATTTCCTACTGCCAACAAACATATTCATGCCTCCCACATCCTCAAAAACCTTCACTTGGTCCACCCATCTCCACTAGCTATCATCCATATTTCCCCTCCCTTTTAAGGCTAAACTTTTTGAGAAAGCCATCTTACGACTGATGCCTCTACTTTCCCTCTTCTCTTCTTAATTGTCTACCGTCTGCCTTCCAACCTCATCATTCCACGGAAACTGCTCTCCCCAAAGTTACCAATGCTCTCTCAGGGGCCAACTTTAATGGTGGGCCTTTTCTCAATGTCCTTGACCTGTCACCTTCTTCTCCTTAATACTCATTTCTGGGTTTCAATCCAGGTTCCCCTCCTAACTATCTGACCAATCCTCAACCTCCCTTTCTGTCTCTTCATCACGTCACACCTGCTAACCTTGGGTGTCCCACAGGGCTCTATCTTGAGCCCTTTTCTCTTCTCCCTCTGCTATTTCCCTTGGTAATTTCATCAGCTCTCATGCATTCAATGATCATCCCTATGCTGATGACTTTCAAACTCCAACTGCCTACAAGATATCTCAAACTATAAAATGTCCCATAGACATTTTAAACTGGACAAGTCCAAAACTGAACTCATCATCTTTCCTCTCAAATCCTGTCTTCTTCTAAACTTTATTGTTCGGTTGTGTCCAACTCTTTGTGACCCTGTGGACCATAGTGTCCGTGGGGTTTTCTTGGCAAAGATACTGGAGTGGTTTACCATTTCCTTTTCCAGGAGATTAAAGCAAACAGAGATTAAGTGACTTGCCCAGGGTTATACAGCTTGTAAGTGTCTGAGGCCAGATTTGAACTTAGGTCTTCCTGACTCCAGGCCTGGTGGTCTATCCATTAAGTCACCTAGCTGATTCCTCTTCTAAACTTTACTATTTCTATGAAAGATACCACCAACCTCCCAGTAACTCAGGCCTACAACCTGGGTGTCATCCTTACCTCCTTATTCTGTCCCACCCCACCATATCCAATCTGATGTCAAGACCTGATGATTTTCCCTTCCTATCATCTCTCATATGCACCCCCTTCTCTCCTCTGACACTGCCACCACCCTGATACAGGCCTTCAACACTTCATGCTTAGACTATTGCAGTAGCCTGCTGGTGGGTCTGCCTGCCTCAATTTCTCCTCACTTGTCCTCTCAGCTGTCAAAATCATCCAGGTCTGACTATGGCACCCAAATATTCAACATACTCCAGTGGTTTCCTATCACTGCCAGGACCAAATATAAAATATTCTATTTGGCCTTCAAAACTCTTCGTAACCTGGCCCTTCCTACCTTTTCAGTCGTCTTAAACCTTACTCAAATTCACATGTTCTACAGTCTAGTGACATTGTCCTCCTTACTGTTCCATGAACAAGACAGCATCTCCCTATTGTGTGTTTCCACTGGCTGTCCCCCATGTCTAGAATACCCTCTCCTTTCTCTCCTCTTCCTGAATTCGCTGGTTTCCTTCAGGTCCCAACTAAAATCTTTGCTTCTATAAGAGGACTTTCATGCTCCCCCTTAATGTTTGTGCCTTCCTTCTGTTATTTATCTCTAATTTATCCTCTATGTAGCTTGTTCATTTAAAACTATTTGCATAGCATCTCCCCAATTCGATTCTGAGTTCCTTGAGAGAGCTGTTGGGGTTTTTTGCATTTACTTGCATCCGCAGCACTTACACAATGACTGGTACATCATAGCAGGTGCTTACTAAATGTTGCTGCCTGGTTGTTGAAATTTGACATTACAAGAGAAATTTTGTGGGGAGGGAACATCAGAGAGGGCTTTTGGAATTTTTTCAAAGGTTCATTTCCCCAAATTTGGAAATGTTTACTCAGTTGAAGAATGAGTCTAAAGGGGAATCTGTGAGAATAAGATGGATTACTTTAATACTATTGGGCCATTCCTGGAGCTTTATGGAAACATTCATTAATATCAACCTTTTCTCTAGGTTCAACCATTTTTTGAACATTATTCAACTTTTTGCCACTAGATGGTGGTAGTGCTTCATTTCCTTGAGATTTCAGTGTCAAATACACCACATTGTCTATTCTGTATGTCCTGAATATTTCACTAGCTTCTCTCAAGTGAAAAGAGGCTTGTGTCCTGTAGCAGGTCTCAGATTTCTGAAGAAAGATTCACTACGCGCACGCACACACACACACACACACACACACACACACACACACCCACACACACACACTTCTTATCCTTGTGGATATCTGCAGAAGGATACTCCTCCAATAACGCAGATTTCCCAGCTAGCAGAACACTCCTGTATATCATACCATTAGTTTACCTCACAGGGGCTACCCAGCATGCAGGGTGCCTTCTCCAAGTTCCCTTGACATTGTATTAATGTGGATTAAATGGTCTGCCCATATTAGGTACATATATTAATTATTCTTTTAAAATATTTCCATTTTAACAACTCTGCAGAGTTCTGAAGGTTAGCTATCTGTTTAGGAATAAATGTACATACCAATACATGTTGTGAACAAAATTTAGTTGATGTTTAAATTAGGTCTACATTCTATGAATAACTCTAAACTTCAGTTAGAAATTGGTACTTATGCTAAGGTGTGGTGGCATATGTAATCCCCAATTGCCAAGGAGACAGAAGCTGGCAATCTCATGGGCTCAGGAGTCCTAAGCTACAGTGCACTAAGCCGATTGTGTGTCTGCACTGTCCAGCATGAGGATGGTGGGCCCATAGGATCAGGGGGCCTCCAGGTTGCCTAAGGAAGGGTGAACTAGCCCAGGTCAAAACCAGAACAGGTCAGGACAGCTAGGTGGCACAGTGGACAGAGTACCAGCCCTAAAGTCAGGAGGACCTGAGTTCAAATCCAGACTCGGACCAAACACTTGACACTAACTTTGTGACCCTGGGCAAGTCACTTAACCCCAATTGCCTCACCAAAAAAAAAAAACAGAGCAGGTCAAGCTGCCCCTGCCTTGATGAGTAGTAGGAGTGGGCCCATAAGTAGCCAGCCACTGTAATTCTAACCTAGATGAAGTAGGAAGACTCAATCTTTAAAAAAATTAATTAAGACTAAAATACATTAAATTTTTAGAAAGAATTGGCACACATGAAAATTGTGAAATCTTATAAGATGATAGAAAGAAAACAACAGTTTTGTAGATTTTGTAGAATTTTTTTATCTTTTAAAGTTTTATTGATGACTTTTGTTTTTACATTATATACATTTATGGATCACTCCTACTTCACAATAGTCCTCTGTTAAAAAAAAAAAAGCAAAACAGTTAAATAAAACTAATAGTACAGTGACATCTCTAGCAATCCTCCACCCCCTCTTTTAAACATTGCCAAAAATTTATTTTCTCTTGCTCTGCCCCACCACCCCATTGAAAACCAAAATAAAAACAAATTTTCTGTAACAAATATTCAGTCAAGCGCTAAATGAAATTTAAAGCCATTTTTCCTTTGAGATATCTGTTACTGTTGTTCAGTCATTTGAGTCATGCCCAATGGATTTTTTTTTGGCAGAGATATTAGAGTAGTTTGCCATTTCCTGCTCCAGCTATTTTACAGTTGAGGAAACTGAGGCAAACAGGGTTAAATGACTTGCCCAGGTTCACTCAGCTAGTAAGTGTCTGAGGCCAGCTTTGAACTCAGGAAGGTGATGCTTCCTGACTCTAGGCCCTACACTGTATCCACAGCACCACCTAGCTGCCCTTTTGAGATACTGATGTTGCTTATTTTGGATCAGAAAGTTGATTAGGCCAAATTCCACTTAGTTACCCTCCTATGCTTAAGATCATGTTTGGTGTTGACCGATGCAGTTATGTCATTGTATTATCACCCTCATCGGGACAGTATCTGACACTTGTATGATTCTGCAAAATTTCAAAGTACAAGTATGCATTATCAATAATCCTTAAATTTATGTACTCATCAGTTCTGTGAACCGTAGCAGTCTTTCCATAGTCGTATATCTGTGAAACTTTTCCTTCAGGACTCAATTTCATTGTAATTTGTTTAAAATTTTGAGAGACATGCCTGTTTGAAAGTCTCAGCAATTACTACTTAATCTCAACATGGTTAACTGAAACACCAATCAAAAGTGAACTGTTACGCCACCCTTTAGCCCTGCAACAGATTTCATCAAAGTTAGTCTCTCCTTCCAAAGCAGTTACGAAATGCAAACTGACAAAGAGACAGACATGAACTGATGAGCAGTCAAGCTGAAATACAGACCTCCCTCCATTGAGTGAACTCCCTGAGCCTTGGAAATTATTAGCCTGTCAGAATCCATATGCCAAAGTCTAGGAGAAATCATGCCAAGCCTCCAGGAAATCAGCCTGGAATTGGAGGTGTGAGATAGGAAGGCTCGGGAGGAAGAGGTGAAGCTGCTAAATGTTCATAGGAGAAACCAAGTTTTGTAGGCTACTAAGCATTTGCCCAGGGTTTCTTTTGAACCTTTAGAAGAGTATATTACTTAATGTCCAGTAGAATTTGAGCATCTTGAGATGTACTGATTAATCAACATGTAATTTGTTATATGTAGCAGCTAGGTGGCTCAGTGGATAGAACTCTGGGCCTGGAGTCAGGAAGACCTGAGTTCAAATCCAGCCTCAGACACTATTTGTGAGACCCTAAGCAAATCACTTAACCCTATTTACCTCAGTTTCGTCATATGTAAAATGAGCTGGAGAAGGAAATGGCAAACTACACCAGTGTCTTTGCCAGGAAAACCCCAAATGGGTTCACGGAGAGTTGGACGCAATTGAAAAGTAACTCAACAGCAACCATTTATTATGTACCAGACATTGTACTAGGTGCTGCAGTTACCAAGACAAAAGTGAAACAGTTACCTCCTTCAAGGAACTTGCCTTCTGATGGTGGAAACAATTTGCACATGTGTAACTAGGAAGTGTTTTATTTTTGTCTTTATAACTCTAGCACTTAACATGGTGCCTGGCACACAGGAAAGCAAGCAAGCAAGCACCTACTATGTGCCAGGCATTGTGCTAGTGCTTCACAAATATCATCTCAATAGCCTATATCAGATCATGAGCTGTCTTGGGGAGGGTGGTGGGGAGGAAGGGGGAGAACAATTTCAAACTCAAAAGTATATAGAAGTGATTGTTGATAAATCAAAATAAATTAATAAAAAAAAGTCATCTCATTTGATCCTCACAACAACCCTGGAAGATAGCTACTATTATTATTCCTGTATTCCAGGTGAGGAAACTGAGGCAGACAAGGTTAAATGATCGGCCCAGCGTCACACAGTTACTAAGTGTCTGAGGCTGGATTTGAACTCAGGTCTTCCGCTCTAGCCACTGAGCTACCCGGTAGCCTCTGGGCACATAGTATGTGTTTAATAAATGTTTGTGAAATTGAATAGATATAAGAATGCACTTTTAAAAACCATGAAAGTAAGTGCCTCTCTGTACCAAGGAAGAAAACATAAAATATAGAAAATACTGCTCAAGGTGAAAATCTGTTTCTTTCCCAGACTGTCTGCCCCATGAGTGAGAGGCTTTTTAGAAACTGCTGTCAATATCCCAGCTGAGACAGGTGTTTCTTTGGTTCCCCATCCTGGTTTGCATTTTAGGTTTTTGATGATCTGTCAGAGACTGATATCAGCAGTGAAGATCACCGTCATAAAAGCAGAACAAATGCCACAGAGGAGAAACTGAAATCCAGGTTGTTTGAATTAGCTGCTAAAATGAGCGAGAAGGAAACATCTTCAGGTGAAGAACAGGAGTCAGAGGCCAGGACAGAATCTGACCATCAGAAAGAAAGTCTGTCCTCAGAAGACAATGGCCAGTGCATTCAAGAGGAACTGAAGAAGGTGAGTTCTGTAAAAACCCTGGGCTGGCAGCTTGCGCTTGGCACAGGTTATATACATGGTATAAACCAGTTTATAAACTGCAATGAGTGTCTGCTCAAAACGACAGCCACATCTGTCCTTCTGTTCATCATCGGATTCCTCTGCTTAGACACAGCTGGGGAGGGATAGCTGGATTTACCCATTTGTTCTTTCTTTTCTTCTGTTTCTTCCCACTGTTTTCAGTCTGGTTTTTAGTTGGAGGTTACTGGTTTTATGTAATCCTCTAACTTGTTAAAAGTTTAGAGATTAAAAAAAACCAAATGCTTGGCCTGCTTCCCTGTAGATTGGATCTATATAATAACAAAGACAATATTTAGGAGGAAATAATAGAGCACTGGGCTAGGAATCAGAAAGACTCCTCTTCCTAAGTTCAAATCTGGCTTCAGACACTTCCTAGCTGTGTGATCCTGGACAAGTCCCTTAACCCTCTTTGCCTCAGTTTCCTCATCTATAAAATGAGCTGGAGAAGGAAGTGGCAAACTACTCCAGTGTCTTTGCCAAGAAAACTCCAAATGGGGTCATGAAGAGTTGGACACAACTGAAAAGCAAGCATAACAACCACAAAAGTTATACTTGGTTATTCTCAACATTGAAGCTCTACCTCTTACTTCACATTAGTTTTCTTGGTTGAATTAAGCTGGGTTGATTCACCTTACTGAGGACCATTTTTTTTCTTACAGAAGGCTCCCTATTTATTATCAGTTGGTGACAAGAGTCACTGATAGTAGTGGAAGAGAATAGTATACCCCAGTGGTGTGCGCATGGGGCTGGCCTTACTATAGTCTCCACCCACAAAATACAATCTCTTTGAAGTGGAAGAGTGTGTGTGTGTGTGTGTGTGTGTGTGTGTGTGTGTGTGTACAGAGAGAGAAAAAATAACACCAATTATTGGTCACATTCAGGTTTTGTGCAAGTTAAACTGAGGCAGTTGGGGATGGAGCAGAGGAGAAAGGCAGTCTGTATTTGGGCCAGTGTGGCAAAGCTTAATGATGAACATGGATTTAGGAACTTCACACTTGCCCTTGATCCAAAGCTAGGTAATTATGCCAAGGTGGTCTCACTAATCGGCAATTCTTCCATGCTCCCATCTCTATGTGCTATCAGTCTTAACTGTTATCTGATTAATTTACGGTGCTGAAACCTATTTTGTGGGACATCTCAGAAAAGATAAGAGCTAAGCTCAGTTTAGTGCTAGAGAAAAAAATGGTTGCTCCCACACAGCAACTGTTTTGAAAAGAAACAAAGCCTATTTTGTGCACTAGCATCAAAAAGAACTTGGTTTTTCTTCTTTTCCAAATGGTCCTTGTGTGGTAGAAAGCATTTAGAAATGGCCTGGATCGTGTGCTGAACAATAAATGAGCTGACGATACAGGGAAGCTTTTCAGATTCCCCATAAGTTCTCTTGTCATTCTGAACCTCAAAGCACAGCCTACGTTTTCTCTGACCACTGGTCAATGTTGAAACTTGTGTGGAGTGACCTTCACTGGCCAGGTGAAAGCACCCTGGTATCTGGAAGCAGGCAGAAAAAAGGGTGATCATTTTACCCCAAAAGTATCAATATCTCTTGGAAACCAAGAAAAAAGATGATGCAATAGAAAGAATTCTAGATTTGAGGCCAAAGGACTTGGGTTTAAATCCTACTGCTATGCAAAGACATGGATATGGGAATGGAATGTTGTGTGGGGGGAACAGCAAGGAGGCTGGTCTGGCTGGACCAGCCAGAATGGGAGAAGGAAAGTAATGTTTAATCAGCTTTTCCTTCAAAGTTTATGAAGTACTTTTCTTAACTGGGTATCAGCCTCTTCAACACTTTAACAGGTCTGTGTTCTCATCCACATGGGCATTCCCTCCACTGGTGCTGATTGCCACCTGTCAGTTCCTTCTATCTTATCCAACTCTTGTCCATTGACTCCAATACATACATCTTTCAAAGGCAGGTTCACAGGGGTTCTTCCTCTAGTTATCTCTACCTTGCATCCACACTAATGGAGCATCCGTATTATATCCTTCAGTCACACTATAAAACCAATCCACTTCTTTTCCATTCATCCCTAAGAATGAATAAATGGATGAATAAATGTAAGAAAAAGCCTGGATTAAGCACTTACTGTGTGCAAATCCTATATAAAAGGTCATGAGATGCTTTGTCACTATTCCCATACATATTTACACATCAAATTGCTTCCATGTAACAATGTTATTCTATGTTATTATACTTCGTTGTTATTTTACACATAAGGTGTTAATAACAGACGGTGTAGTGGAAAACTAACCGGGGGCAGCTAGATGGTCCAATGGATACAGCACTGGGCCTGGAGTCAAGAAAACTCGTCTTCCTGAGTTCAAATCTGGCCTCAGACATTTACTAGCTATGTGACCCTGGGCAAGTCACTTAACCCTATTTGGCTCAGTTTCCTCATTTGTAAAATGAGCCTGGAGAAGGGAATGGGCAAACCATTCCAGTGTCTCTGCCAAAAAAAAAAAACCCAAGTGGGGTCACAAAGAGTCAGATATGACTGAACAACAACATAGTGGAAAAAGCACTGACTCTAAAGGTCAGACTGTGAGTTCAAATCCTACCTCAGATATCTTGAGCTCTGTGGGCCTCAGAAAATGAAAAGATTTGACTCTGAGGGCTTATGTAGCTCCAGGTCTATGATTCTATTTATATATTCACCCCTACCGTTCACATCACTCCTGCCCTGCAGTGTTCCATCATCCACAGCCATATGGCATCACTGAGAGTACACTCATGATGAAAAAATGTTTGTTTGTCCTTTCCCAGTGGTTTTGAGACCAGACTTTCTGAAGGTGAACTTTGTAGCAGCTTCTGCTTTGTTTCTCATGTGTTAATAAACATGGGCCTAGGAACCAAGGACAAGAAAAGAAACTGGATTATGCCAGTGAGTTGCTCACTTAGCGCCAAGAATAAAAGTGAGATCTAATGGTGATAACATCTGGAAGCAGATGCCCTGTGAGTGCTGACCTAAGCCTGCTCAGGGTTGGATGGCCCACGTAGCCAGCTGCCCAGGGGTTCTACTCAGAAGGCTTGGTCAGATAATGTTACTTCCAATGGAAAAGACACACAAACATGTTAAAATTGTTCAATGTATAATCAAAATCACCCCAGGGGGAGTTTAATTTTCAGCAGAAATGAATGCATAAGAAAGCAAGTTTGAATGATAGACAATAGGTATCCAACATGAGGCCCAGCCCACATTAGACAGCCATGATCATGAGTGGGGACAAACTAGATTAAAATATAATTGGGAAATATTGAACAAAATAAATAAAAATAAAATCGAACATAATGTTAATATGTGGTTTTCTAAGTCAATATGTAACCAGCAGGGATCCTTATGTGATGGTTTAATGTCTCAGTTTCTACTTGTGTTCAACACCACTAGCATAGACAATTATTTGAATAATATTTAAAATGTGCTTCCCCTTTTTTTTTTAAATCAACGTGGAAAGACAAGACAGACATAAAAGAAGAGTAAAAACAAAATTTGGGAATGAGATTTGAGTAGATTTTTTTCATTGATTATTTAAGAAAGACTTTTACTATTTATTTTATAGGAAAAATATTTACCAAATGCATGCTTTTGTTTAAAGACAGCAGTAGGGATAGGGACTAGGCCTGTGATTTCAGCAGTATAAGGAACTTTCAGAGGAGTCAACTCTCTCTACCAATACAGGTTCGCATCTTTTCTCATCTTTTCTATTACAGTCTTAGAGTTGCCCAGAGTCACTGAGAGGTTAAGTGACTTGGCCATGGCCAGTTTGTCTCAGAGGTGGTATTTGAACCTAAATTATCCTAGCTTTGAGGCCAGAGTATGCTCTCAGTCTCTATCTCTGTTTCTCCCTCTCTTTCTCTTTTTCTCTTTCCTATGTTAAAAATACAAATAATAATAATAGCAACGATTGGCATTTATATAGTAGCACTGTGAGATTTGCCAAGCTCTCTATATGCATTATCTCATTTGGCCCTCACAACAGACCTTTGAGAGAGGTACTATGGGTATTACCCCTGCCTTTTACTGAGGCTCAGAGACATTGCTCTGACCACAGTCACACAGCTACTAAGTGTCACAGGTAGGATTGGAATCCAGATCTCTCCTGATTGCATTGTGGCACCCACCTCCACTCTGCCTGATCAGTTCAGGCTATTGCGCATAACCTGCAGGACAGTCAGATGCATCTCATTGTGTCTCTTGGCAGATGGATAACACTGTCATATAAAGTCAGCTAGGCTGATCTCCCTTTCCTTGAAGCTTTAAAACATACACAGAATGTTTAATAATATATTGGAAAAAGAGATTCTGCCTCCCTGAAGGACTTCTCTGCAGGTTCTGGCCTGCTTCCACAGAGAGAAAAGATGGTGATTAGTCTTGATTTTAATACAAGTCTTTTCCTAAGCTAGTTTCTTTAACTGAAGCATCAGCTATAGGTAGCTTCCTCTTACAATAATTAGAAAAGCATTGGGACTTTATGGCATGAATCCTAGAACACAGGATAGAGTGGATGGGCCAAAGGAATCAGAGTAGCGTGGTAGCTGCCATTCATTACTGCTTCCTGATACACAAAAGACATTATGAGAGGCAGTGGGATGTCATAGATGGAGGGCCATCCAGGGAATTAGGCAGACTTGGCTAGAAGCGCTCTCTCTCACATAGACTATACGACCACATACAGGTCATTTAAACACCTAGTTATCTTTCCCCTCTAAGATTAATCACCTCAGTCTACTCTGTATATGTCTTGAATGTACCTGGTTAATTACTTGGTATCTGTTGGAATGTAAGTTCCCTGAGGGCAGGAACTAGTTTTGCCTTTTGGACAACCGAGGCTTAACACAGTGCCCAACACTGTGTGTCCTTAATAACTGCTTCTCAACTAATTTTGAGGGCCCCCAGGCAAACCTCCAAGGTTAGAAATGATAGAAGAGTTCATCATCTCCA